CTTTCCCTGGACTTTCTGACTTCTGAAGACAAATAGGCCCTTATCTAAAATCCAGAAAGGGATCCATTTGTAATCTGCACCTGCTTTACATCCCAACACTTCGCACAAGGCAATGAAAGCTCGTCTAGAGTTACTGGGAGCAACCTTCATTCCAACAGAGACAAAACATATTCAGAAATAAATTTGTAAAAACGATGAGGCATTTTAGACTTTTGGTATATCTCACTGCAAAGGAAAACGGTTTCAACTGCATTCCCCCATCAGCAAGTAAATAACATGCATACTTTGCTGTGAAATAAAGGGACCACCGTAGTGAGACTTAAAAGCTACAAACAGCTCTCAAGTGGCAGAGAACCAAGTCACCTACTGGCTTGGCAAGGCCTCCGTTTGTTTGCTGGTTTCTTAAGAGCAAACAAACAGGACATACAATTAACAGCACAGCAATGACACTGGGCGAGGCACACTGGATACTGAGATGATGACCCTTCAACCCTCTGTGATTCACCTTTAGGATTCAGTTTTGTAAGGGCATGAAGTGCCAGTCTCCATTTCCTGGTACAGTAATTTAAAAGAAGGGGAGTTGGGAAAAAGAATTCTTAATCTTTAAAATTAGTTTAGTATCAAACCAGTGAAGTTAGTCATAAACACATGACAGTTACACAAGCTAATAAAAAAAAAAAAAAAAGTGGTCTTTTTTTTTTCTAAAAAGGAAACCAACAACAACTAATGGTATTTGCCTTTTAGATGTTACTTTGTAGGTGGCTGTTCTTATGTTGTGGCCAGATATGACTTGAAAGTAGGGAGTACTTAAACCCTTAGAACACTCCAGACATTCTGCCTTCATTTTTAGATTCTCCAAATGCATAGATTCTACCTTTTTTATTTCTTCCTGAAATGCAACCACTGGACAAAGTTAGACCAAGATTCTCCACAAAAACCTGCTGACCACTCATCCCAAGTCCTCCTAACTACCAGCAGGTCTCTCTACCTGAGAAGATAAAATATGAAGAAAAAACCCCAGCTATTATACTAGCGTCTTGGTATCTCTTAAATCCACAGGGTTACTAAACAAATGTATAGCAAGTAAAATAAAAATTATTATTTTCCTAAATCCCCTCAATCTGCAATTACCCTGCAATTTGTTTTTATCATTTGTGTGTACAAAATGTTTACAAAATTATGAAGTATGATCACAATGTTCCTTTAAAAACTGCCTAGTAACAATTTGGCCACGAGACCAAAAAAAAAAAAAGAAATTAGAAAAAATGCCAACGGAACCAGAAGAGCCATTGCCTAAGGAGTTTTAATTCAAACCAGAAACTTCAATTTCAGTGACTCATATTTTCAATTACTTCCTGAGGTTAGAAGGCAGTGAGCTATCTAACTGAATGTTTTTAATATATGGAAAAACATTTTTGCTTCACGGCCTCTATAAAATGAGTGGGGTAGTTTTAAGTTGAGATTCCAATTTTGTTGAGTACAAATCACACAAATGACACTGAAAGTCAAACCATTTGGCAAAGAAAGGGCTTGAAAACAGAGTAATCTTTGCAACTCTCAAAAGCTGGCCATTTTAGATTAATAGAGATAATAGAGCAAAACAGTCTGGGTGAACACACACCTTATCTCTAGACATATCTGATACTTTGCTGTTTTGTTTTTCCCTCTTGCATGTCAATTATAGACCAAAGTTTTTCACTCCAGTTAACCCTAGTTTCTTTTTTTTACACAAAAGGAGAAGCCAAGCTGACTTCTGTTCTAACAGAAGTTTCATTTCTGCAGATAATCTGATTTTCCCTTGAAGGCATGCAGTTTCACAGCTTCTGCTAAATGTAACAAGGAAAAAAATTAGGAGGAAGGGCAAAAATCTTGAGAGGTATGTACAATGATGGAATAGAGATCCCCCATCAAAGTTAGCAGGAAAATGGTTCAAATCCTACTGCAACAGCAGAGAGAGGCAACAGAGATCTTGGCTCAAAGCGCAAAGATGGCTTAAGAAAATAAGTTTAGAGAAAAGGTGCCAAGTCATTCCATTAGGGAGCAAACACTGAGTCATATTTGGTCCTCAGAGTACACAGTACACAGCTTTCAGTAACTTCAACACAAGCATAAACCACTTTCAGAAGATTTAAGATAGAAACTCAGTACCCTTCTGAGATCTGACCACTAAATGAGAGTTTTGAGGCTTTTATGCTACAGACACCTTAGCCAGAGGCACTAGGAGGGGAAAGTTCAGGCTGTAAATACTAATGAGGAAAACGTGAAATCTTTCAGCTGGCTAAACAATCAGTGCAGAAGGGTCAAGATTCTTCCTTCTCTATTCTTTGCACATTTCTTAAATATTGGAACAGAGTACAAGGCAACATCATTCCCCCTCCACTCCCATCTAACTAAAGATGGGCTTTTTCTTTTTTTTTTTTTTTTAATACAAACAAGAAAAACTTTCTCCACCACAAAATATTTTAAATGTCTCATCAAATGACATAGCATTCCTCTCTTCATTTATGGTGGAGAAGCTAACTGTATGCAGCAGTTAGCACAAAATTCCACTGACAATAAAACAAATAAATCAATCAATAGTCTCAAAAGCCTATGATTCAATTACATGGATTACAAAGAGCTTGGATTTGACAGCCAAACGTGTTCTTCTCTAAGATTTATCTGTGAACTTTGAATCAGAAAACTGAAGTGGAATAAACTACTCAGTGAAGATGAAGATATTTGGAAGGAAAAATTAATTAATTCAGTATGGCATGACACAAAGACTGTCTGGTGCCCATAAAAACAACAGAAGCTACTCAGCTCAGAAGTAAGAATGAGGGAGGAAAGCTGCCTTACTGCTTATGGGTCTGGCAAAATCTGCAAACTCTCTTGGCTGACAGTTACCAAATACAGAGATAGGACTGTTTGAAAGCAGCAGGCAGCTAGGACTTAGCCAGACTCTCAGATAGGATGTATCAACAAGGGTTAGGAAGGCCTGAGAAACTCTGCTGATTCACAGTAACTGAGAAGTGAAACAGTTCCCTTTAAACAACCTAAAAAACCTTTTCTGTGCATTTTGGAACACAGGCATTAGGATCACTTTGTGCTTCCAAAACTCAGTGACATAGGGCCAGATTTAAAAAAAAAAAAAAAAAAAAAAAAGAAAAAAAGAAAAAAAAAAGACATTATACAACACAACTGTTAAGGTCTATGACAAAAGACCTTGAAGATTTAAAATCCACGTTAAAGATGTTCTGGAGACAGAGCACAACATCTCAAGGTCAAATGCTACATTTGCTATTGATGAAATCATCAGGTAAATCAGGATATTTCTGTACTGCAATAAAAGAATTTAAATACTAAATGATACTGGGGAACTATATCAGAATTACAGGTACTTACATTACAATTGGAAGATCCATCAAATGCTGAGTAAGAACCGTCAGGCCATTCTGTAGCATCTACAGTGCTTGACTGTCTGTGCTGGGCTTCATACTCTTTCAGCTGAAATTTGAAAAGACAGAACATTTTCCAGTGAGAAGAAGCTATCAATCTTCATTAAAATAGCAAGAGTTAATGTCCTTTCAGGTTTTTTTCCCCCTATATCTTTGTGGCACTTGGAAAATCAGAACTTCCATATGACTGTCTCACTTGTTCAAAATAAATTAATTTGCTTTAGAAACAGAAGTTTTAATGATGAGATTTTTTTTAAAGCAAGTGTTCTATAAACACCAAATTTCGATTTATTGTCATTGGTAAAATATAAGTTATAGCTCCCCATCTCAGAGGCACAGTTTCCACTGGATGGGCTAAATCACATCAGTCTGCCAATTTCCTTCATAAAAAAAATGATCTGCACTAAAGACTAGGAACAATCTTTTATAATTTTGAAACTAAAGACCATCTTTCCCACTTTCCAATTAAAGGCTTAAGACATAAAACCAATTCTAATGCAGTCAAATTGTTGAGACAGTCATCAAGACCTGATGGTATGAAAAAAAAGAAAAAGCTGCTGCTAGTAGCTCAGACCACTAGAGGGAAACAGTACAAGTACATATATTAAATTTACAGATTAGGTACAATCCTGCCCCCACAAAATTTTTAAGTGCAGAGAGGTAAAAGAATTCCCAATATTACCATTAAAATCTTGGATTTCTTTTAATGATATGATTCCCAGCAAAGCAATATTTTCTTCAGACAGTAACAGAAGTTGATATTCTAGGATAATCTATTTCAAGATGTAGTATGTCAGTACAGAAATTTATCTGAGTGCCAATTCACAATCTAAATCATGCTTTCTGCACTTCTAATGGAGCCCATACAGAATACCCTGTGCTCCACCACAGTATTTTGCACAAATGCACAAAATCAAAAGTGGTGTAGAAACTTTAACACCGACTTTTTTGCTTCCGAGCAATTAAAATTTCAGCCTTATTGTTGCACAAATACAATTCTTTGCAGCTGTTTTCTTGTGGTTTACTAACATCTACATTTTGTAATGAAACACTTGTGACAGCCACTGTACTTATAACAAAATATATCTGTGTTGATTTTACTGTCAAATGCCAAAAATGGCTTAATTGGTTTTCTTGAAAGCTATTTAAACAAAACAACACCTACTTGGCTAAGAAACAAGCAGAAGAAATTTCAGCTTAAACATTAGTATTTTTTAAAGTTTTAATTACTGAAAATGGAAGCCTTCCATCAAACTGTCCTTCAGCCATTACCAGCAGGAAAATAATAAGAAATAAATGTGTTCTGAAACAAATTAGGCAAGCTCAGCAAAACTTGAAGCATTCCATACAGTACTTAAACAAACCTATGAACATGCATGATAAATAAGGACTACTACAGGTGGGGTTCATCTTCCTTACCTTTAGACAGCTGCAATTAAGAAGTCTACACTTGAGCTTTTCTCTGATTGGCACTCTTTGTTGCCAATGGAGAGAAGCAAATGCTTTTAGGAGTCGATTAATTTGCCATACATTAGACATCTATTTTTGGTTGAGCTAAATTTGACCTTTTTCCCATAAACAAAGGAATTGGTATCTAATTTATGCTACTAGCATGATGGGACAAACAGGCATGCTTTTTCCCCTTCTCCTGTGTCTTCCGAGCAAATGAAAACTCCAAATTGGTATGTTCTACATCCTAACACACATTTCTCCAGGAAATGTAAGTGGGTACATATCATACCCTAGCAAGTGCTTCCTCAATGGTGATCATCTTCTCTTTGACCATCATCATCAGCTGGATCCTCTCCTCATCACTCATTGTGATCTCACTGGCCACGTACCCTACATCCTCTCCTGCAGGAAAAAGCACAGAGATAACAAGCATGTGTAAAACGTCAGGCACAGAGATGGGCATATTGAAACTGGATTTTACCCAGTGCTCTGAAATCTTGTTCCCACGTGGAATTGGCTGGCCAGAACACACCATTCCCAGAGCAGTCTCACAGTATGAATTCAAAGGACTGAAAGATTTGGAAGTAACTGAGCAAGAAAAGGAAGTAAATTAGGAAGTGAACTAGGCCCAGAAAACTGAGTCTACTCTGACACTGAAAGCAGAAGAGCATGACAACAAGAAATAAAACATGACTGTCATTGCACAGTTATTGACCCTGAAAGACAAGAATGAAAAGAGCTAATGCCAGAAAAGTCCTGCACTCAGCCCCGAGGAGCACTGCAGTCAGCTGCCAGAGCGGATGGGAAGCACTTCCAGGAATGGTGTGCTGGGACCTCACAGCTCCCTGCTGCGGACTGGCCACATCCCCTGACCTATCCAGGCTATCTAACTGGCCACTCAGCTGGCACATGGTGCTAGGTATACTGGGGCTCTCCACTCCAGGACATCTCTTTTTGGTATGAGCTTGGTGTGTCAGCACAGACCTTCTGAACTTGTTTTGAGAGCCAGCAAGGACCCACGCTTAACTGAGAGTGTAAATGTGCCCCTTTTCGGCCTCCTAAGTGGGCTCCTGTCATCTTTCACAATCCCTCTGAACACAGACATAGTGATGTGAGGAAGCATCTGTTTGCAACAGAAGGATCTAACAAATACACTCGGGGAAACAGAAATTTTACATGTAAAGAGAAATACTTAAAGTAATGCACAGCTGCATCTTTTGGAGAACTAGAGAAAGACACCTGACAGTGTAAGTGGAATTGATTTGCACTAGTCACCAGATGCACTTTTACTACTCCTTCTTGTAGTGTCTTCTACTACAATGAGAGGCTGGATTCAAGCCTAAAGCAAACAGGCCAAAGTAACCCAACGTCAAAGAAAGGAGAAACATCTTTCTAATTAAAACAGATCAGCATTTCTCTCATCAAGGCAGGATCAGAAAAAAAGGCATCTTGTTCATTTACAGATATTACTTTTATATATATACACACACACACATATATATACTGCACCACTTTGTGCATATGCATTCACTGACAGTCAGGACCAGAGGTGTCCCAGCCTCACCCAGATGCAAGTCTCACCGAATGCAACTTGTCTTCTGAGCCCTGTCACGATGAACCAAACCTGCAACACTTCCAGATCCACAGCCTCCCCAAACTGCCACACTGTTGCAAATTAATTTTACTCCTTTGTGATGCTGGCTCCTTCTATTTTGTATGGATAGGTTGTGTGTCCTTAAAAAAGATTTACCTTTTGAAGTCTGCCTCATTAGTCCTTTCTGGTTCTTTCGGAAATTCTGCCAAAAAAACTTATTCTTCTTTTTCCAGTCTGCTTTCCCTAAAAGGAAAGTGGCGAGGGAGGATGAGGGGAAAGGGAAAAAGAATTTCAGAAAGAAACATTAGTTAGTAAATGCTAGAGAAGCTTTCAAGCACAAAGTTGTATTTTCTAAGTAAAAAAACAAGAATGAAAAATTTGAAATTTTCTGTTTTTCTTGATTTATTCTGTACTAGAACTATGCTGATGTAGCTGTTTCAGGGAAATGCACATTCTTTTATAATTGCCAATGCTATAGAGGACTCAGATAAGCCAGTAAAGTACGTATGTTGAATTATAAACATAAAATATTTTACATTCATTTTGATATCTGTTGAGTTGTTAATGTCAAGTCTGGAAGTGTTTTTGAAGCATTTTGTTGGTTTATTCTCTTTAACTGAACCACAATTATGCAGCCTAAGCCACAACTCAGATAAGTAATTTTCTAATATGTGCGTGCATACCTATACAGAAAACAAATACTTTACATACATATAAATGCACACACATATGCACAATCACACACGCACATTCTGCTACTCGGCATGAGAAATTCCATGAGGCCACCAGCTACATCCAACTCTTGCTCTCTGTGTGCCTGGACTGTACAAGGCTGTCCATTAATACCAGATCTGCATATGGCTTGATGACCCAGAAGTAAATGGTTTGTTCTGAAAAGAAATGCGATCTGGCTCAAGGTAGGACATACGATTGTGTTCTGTTGAATTAACCAGGGCACATGCTATAAAGTTTATGCAATCTACAGGAGAACATACAGTGCCTGATAAAGAGCTACTTCATCCCTCTGCTTTTGAAAAATTCAAAGGAACACAGTTTATACTGTGCCACTGATTTCCAGCATGTGACTGTATTATTTTGGATCTTACCCTCGAAGACCTAGACTTGGGTTTACTAACTCTCTAAAACACAGCTCAAGTTAAGACTGTGCGGAAATGTCCCTAGAAAAAAATTAAGAAGAAGCAAACAAAAAAACCTTCTAGTTTTTCCTTTCCTCTCCAATGAACAAAATTTTTCCAGAAATGTATCAGCTCAGCTAATAAGTTAGGACAGCAATATGAACTAATTCTAGTAAGTTATAAAAAAACCCCAAAACCCACAAGTGAAAGATAATGGAAAACAAATACATATTTAAGAATGCAAAATATTTCAGAAACAAAGGAAGAGACTCTGGCGTGACATGAACCAAAATAACAAAAAACCCAGTTATTCACTGACGGTGGTAATTTGCAGAATACAAACGGATAGGATAGCAGTGATCTAATGTGCAGACATTTGAAATTCAAAATAACAAGTCAAAAGACACATATTTATCGCGTGACCATGCTGGTAGGGCAGTCTCAGTGATCACTGAGACACCCAGCATCTAACTTAAAGCTGCTGAGACTCACTCTCCACACACACACACACACAAATGCTGCCGACTTCTGCCAGCATTCTGTTTACTCAGCTCTTCATATCCCAGCACAAGCAAAACTCAAAACCTGTTTAAGAATTCCATAGAAATATCAAATAAAATGAAATATACTGACCTACACAACCTTCTTCCGAACTTGATTTATGAATGGAGAGCCTAGGACAAAAAAAAGAGAAATGGACTTATTGACGCAGGCTTCTCACATTTCATGGGAGCTGTCTGATTACAGTAAATTATAGTTTCCTAACAATATATCATGAGCTGTTTTCTCTTCCCTTTTCTTCCCAATGCACTAAGTTGGAAACAAAAACTGAACCCACTGGTCTGACCACAGTAACTGTGTTCCCCTCTTAGACATGCCTTTTGTGACCAGCTTAGAAAAACATATACTGACAGAAACCTATGGCTAAGGCAAAGGAGTCTAGGGATCCCTCAGAAAAACACTTTTTCACATAGTTTCCCCCCCTTTCCATTTATAAACCAGTAATTTGGCTACCTTAGAAGCCTATACCTATACTTAGAAACTGTAGCGCTGGGATGCTGTATTTGTTTAGCTGTATAATAGTTTTCGCCCTCTTATCTGAAAATGCTTTATAAATATGCACTCATTAAACTTTCAGAAGCCACTGTGTGGAAGAGAGGAGTAGAGATTTAAAGACAAGGTGAAAAAAGCTTGTCCAGACCCTATGAATTGTGACCACAGATGACTGGAGACTACATCTGCTTTCTCCTGATACCCTTCTCCTTTCCCACCAGTGTAGTGTATACTCCTTTCCTCAAAAGCTAGCTGGAGAGACTTATTTTAACTGAACATGGATTTTACAAACAACCCACTAAAACAGTGAGTAAATCTTTTGTTCTCGGTCTTTATGTTCATTGAACTAGTTTTCCATAATGGATTCAATCTCAGTGCCAACGGCTCATTGTGGGATCTTTGATGAGACATCACCCCCCTTCACTGCCTTTTTTTTTTTTTTCTGTCTGTATAAATGGAGCTAACAGAAATTACCAAACCCTGTGCAATTCTTTGAAGCCTTCCTATGGGAATCCCTATTTAACCAAGCTGCTCCAAGCCAGTGAAATGACTTCTGCCAGCTTCAACGGCTTTGCTGAAGGCTCCAAATGTAAAGCATTACTGCAATGCCTTTGCCAAGGGCTCGGCCCCGCGACATGACAATGCTCTGTTGTGTGGAGGCTGTACTAGAGCCACGCAGGACGGAAGCATGCATACCCCAGCATACCAAGGAGACCTCAAGCTAAACTGTTCTTTGAATGAGGCCATGTAGTAACACACGCATGCCATGCTCTTGTTGCTGTCCACAGCGTTTCCACCGGCTCCTTGCGTTTTCTTAGAGCCCCAGAAGAGGGCAATGAAGAGTTTTTGATTAATTCAGTAAATCATTTGAAGGAAAAATTTAGTTTAAGCCAGTTCAGATTTTGGAAGATGTAAGCAATTACTGGTCAACGCTTTGTTAGCATGAAAAACATGCTCATCAGTTTGCAAAGACTTCATTAAAGGGGAAATGAGATTCTACGAAGTTTCAGTTTGATTTAGCAATTCATCTAGACAAGAAGGGTTGGCACAGTGAAGCTCTGAAATGTAACCTCCTTCAACCTCAGACTGATTAGAAATGTAATCCAGCACAAACTGCAAACCAATTGAAGCAACTGAATTTCAGATTTGTAGTGCACCAAGCGGAGGAAGACGTTTAGTGTTTTCCTTGCTGAAAAAGTTTACCATTGAAGGGGAAAAGTTAATGATACAGGTGATACACCACCAAACGTTTAGTTTTTAAGAAGCCTGAATAACCAATACCAGAGAAAAAATACAAACCCCATATTTTCCGGGTAAAAACTCCAGAAAAACCAGTGTCAAAATTTAAAGACTTTCAACAGGGCCAGGATTTAATCCAGGCACTTAAAAGTATAAGTTGCCAGTGAGTATTTTTCTAAATAAAGGTAGATCAGATAAAAACTATGTGTGCTTGCATACAGAGACAACCAAGTAAAAAGAAAGCTGAGTTCTGTTGAAACTGACAGAATTAATCCACTATGCTTTGCATCTGAGCATAGACCTCACCCATAAAGCAGTAATTCTATTTATCTTAAATTAAGTTAGTATCCATGAAATCCACCAAATCACTGTCCTTAGAAAATGAAATCTGTTAATGATCAGAACCATGCTTCACTAGTGAAATCACCCTCAAGTGGAGAGGCACTCTCTTGTGCTCTTCAGTCTCCAAATCCATTTTAATCCTTTTCTTCTCTTGTGCAGTTGCCAATGATGCAAGTAAGTAGCAGGTGTAGCAGCAATGCTTGTGATGTGGACATCTGTTCACTGGGAATTAGCCCAGGGCCACCAACTCATCACGCCCTGGCCTCCACAGAAGGTGAAGAGCAGTAGGAGCAAACTTCTGATGGGTCTCAGCTAGAGGGGGCAAGGAGAAGGGTAGGATCCACAGCAAGCAGACCACCTTCTCATTTATAACTGATTAAAGAACTATGCTGAGTTTCATCAGAGGATGCAAATTCCAATTGTCATTTCATGCATTCCCTGAAGAGGAAATCTTCCGTGACTGGGCTGACCTTGAAAATGCTAACAGCTGGTCTGAAGAGATGGAAATGCTGACAAAACCTACCACATAGATCCTGATAAGGCACTTGCTTTTTAGTTCCACCAGACAACTCTAATGCTTAAAAAGCCTCAGTGAAATCAATCGAGTGTTTTACTTCCTAGGTGGCTGGTGAAAAATTCCAGAGCACCTCGGAGTTGCTGTATGTTTGATTTGCCAATTACACTCCCTTACTCTGTTAAATCTGCAGCTCCTCTGTGGACGTGCACTGAAAGTGATTTGTGTTCTTCCATTCATAGACTGATAACTTGTACTGAAAGTTAATGATGCAGTGACACTTGGCAGAAGTTTCAGCACTGCGTGTCTGAAAGGGAGCCAAATGCCATTACTCCACCGTGGAGGCCTTCATTTTTGTTGTGGTCTGATGTACAACTTCATTAGCAAGCTTTCACACGAAATGTACTCTCTCACAGCATATAGCAGAAGAAATGTATGGGTGTATGTTCAGACAAGAAGGAAGAAAAAAAAAGATTTATGGCCAGAGGGAAGGAGTACTTTCTTATCAACCCATAATCACTGGAAGCAAGCTGCACAAGGGGTCAAAACTTCAATCCATTAATCTCACAAATTCAAAATCATCTCTAGACCAATACTTTGGCCTTACTGGAGCCAAACTGCTGAAATAAACAAATGAGAAAAAAAAAAAAAAAAAGCAGCACACTTCTGGGAGTAACCAAGTATTATCGCCTTAGAGAGATGATGGGTTTCAGTGGAGTTTAGTAAATTACAACAGACCACTCAGTGACCAGTGACACAAACTTTAGCAGCAACAGAAGGAATGGAGGACCTGGACCAGGAATTAGCTGATTAGAAAGACTGGCTTAACAGAAATAAATTTGCATTAAATACTAAAATGTGCAAGTACATAAACAGGACTGCCAAAATGTCAGTCTTTCAAACGATGGAGGTTTGCAAATGACAGAGTATCTGGGGATATGAGCTGAAAAAGGATGACTGAGGAAAAAACCAACACATTAATCCCAAAAGGCATAAGGATGGGAAACTCCAATGGCAGTACAAAGAATGAACATATATGAGAATAGCTGTACAACCATCATCACTCACACTCAAGAAAGATTAATTCAAACCAGAAGTGGTAAAGGGAAAAGCTGTTAGAATAGTCAGGGAACCAGACAGCTTATCTTAGGAGAGAAAGCTAGAAAAGTTTTGCCTGCTCAGTCTGTCAAAATTGAAAGCTGCAAGAAGATAACTGACTGTCTGCTAATAAATCAGACACAGGAACAAGTAGACATAAGCCAGAAATAAATTAGAAAAGAGGAGTTCATATTTCCTAACTATTTGGACAAACTTCCAACAGTAGGTAGAGGAAGGGAGGGCAGCTTTAAAAACTAACTGCTTTTAAGAGGCTGTTTGAAAGACACAGATAGACCAGACCAGGCATCTTTGACAACAATGATCTAGACATGAGAACTGCCTCTGGAGGGCACTTCTGGTTCTTCTTTTGCAGCCTGTGGGTTTTATATGAACAATGGCAATGCCAGGCATCCAAAATGGTCTTTGAAGCTATCTTTCCATAAAAGTGCTGCAATGGCGATGACCTTGCAATACATAAGTAATCTCTCCCTTTTATAAATTAACCCTGGAATCCTGGCGGTGGGCTCCAAGCCTTGGGAGTGCAAGGAAGAACCAAGGCACACATTTATGTCAAAAGCCAAGTGAGACCATAACTGATTATTAAGATGGGTTTTAACTATGCTGTATCGAGCTACAAGGCTACAGCTTTCCCTGTTAACTCTGGACTGATTCTGATCTCAGACAGGAGAATGCTGGGGCTTATCTCGCATAGATAGCGGTTGATTTTACAAGAATCATGGTTATACATGCCCCGAGATGTGAATGTGCTGGTGCACCACAGAACTGGGAAAGGAAACAAATGACACCATGTGCTGCTTTCATGAATGCCCCTGTTGATTTTTGAAAGCTCATCATTCTCGAAACAGAACAAACATGGGAACTGAGAATGACAGGATTTCTGATGGGTTTTTGTTTCAACACCAAGTATTTTAAATGCAGATGTGCTTTAACACATGGCCGCATCTCATTTACGGACCATAAAATCCACAGGTGCATCGCACCATCTGATAATGAAACCACTACTGTTATGATCTTCAATAAACTGACAGTGGCCCTCTTATTCCCTCCCAATGACTATTTATAGCCCATTGAGGAAAGCTATGGATGGGATTTTCAGTCTACAAATATTATCCACATTCATAGCAGTGAATAAATTGATGCAAAAGCCCACGCCGGCTCTGCCGCAAAGCTATTTGCTTATCCGTGTACATTAGAAATGGCCCAGTCACATAATTAGTATGAAAAACTGACAGACTCGTAACTGCTCCTGACTGAATACAAGATAATTTATCTAACCGGAGCTGGCACTGGGAAGAAAACAGGCCTTTGGTATTTTTAACAAATTTGCATGAACCTGAAGAGAAAGCAGGCCTGCAAGGTTCTGACGTTGCTGGCACCAGTGTGAGAAAGGGATGGAAAGCAAAGACG